GCACATTGATTCTCATTATAATGCAGGGTACATGTCACTAAGCCATGTGTGCCTCATCATAATGTAGGCTACATGTCACTAACTCACATGTGCCTCATCATAATGCAGGGTACATGTCACTAAAGCACATTGATTCTCATTATAATGCAGGGTACATGTCACTAAGCCATGTGTGCCTCATCATAATGTAGGCTACATGTCACTAACTCACATGTGCCTCATCATAATGCAGGGTACATGTCACTAAAGCACATTGATTCTCATTATAATGCAGGGTACATGTCACTAAGCCATGTGTGCCTCATCATAATGTAGGCTACATGTCACTAACTCACATGTGCCTCATCATAATGCAGGGTACATGTCACTAAAGCACATTGATTCTCATTATAATGCAGGGTACATGTCACTAAGCCATGTGTGCCTCATCATAATGTAGGCTACATGTCACTAACTCACATGTGCCTCATCATAATGCAGGGTACATGTCACTAAAGCACATTGATTCTCATTATAATGCAGGGTACATGTCACTAAGCCATGTGTGCCTCATCATAATGTAGGCTACATGTCACTAACTCACATGTGCCTCATCATAATGCAGGGTACATGTCACTAAAGCACATTGATTCTCATTATAATGCAGGGTACATGTCACTAAGCCATGTGTGCCTCATCATAATGTAGGCTACATGTCACTAACTCACATGTGCCTCATCATAATGCAGGGTACATGTCACTAAAGCACATTGATTCTCATTATAATGCAGTGTACATGTCACTAACCTATGTGTGCCTCAACGTAAGGCAGGCTGCATGTCACTAACCCACTAGAGCCTCAGCATATGCAGGGTACATGTCACTAGCTCACATGATCCTTAGTACAATCAGGCTTGGTCTCATTAACTTGACATTACACTCACTGGTGAAAGCCCGAGAGGAAAAAATTATGTAAGGCATGGAAAGAAATCAAGGAGCTACCCTTTAAATTTCTATTTGACATCATACTGGAAGTCCTAGGTAGAGAAACTGGGTAAAAAAATAAAGAAAGAGAAAGAAAAGGAAATAAATAGGATCCAAATGAGAGTATAAGAACAAAAACAGAGTCTGCTGAAGCAGACAGAGACTGTCGCAGCTTTATGGAGACACCATAAAGCCTTTATTGACAGTACTGTCAGAACTAATAAACCTATGAAATAAGATTTCAGAACACAGTGGCATCACATTACGGTAAAAGGCTTCTCCCATACAGACAAGGAAAAGACAGAGTGAGGAATAATCAACAAATGGCAGAAAACATTTGCAAATCTTACACCATATAGGAATTCAAAATGTATAAAGAAGTACCACAATCCAGAAGCAAGAAAACAAATCATCGGGTTTTTAACATTTATAAATAGAGGCCGGAGAGATGGCTCAACGATTAAGAGCACTTACTATTCCTGCAGAGGACCCGGGTTCAGGCCCCAGCACCTACATGACAGCTCACAACCATCTGTACTTCTAATTCCAATGGTTCTAACATCCTTTTGGAACCTCTGTGGGCACCAGGATGCATATAGTACATGTGCATACATGTAGGCACATTAAAAAAACAAATATGTACAAAATGGATAACCTTAATAAACATTTCAAAAGAAGAGATGCAAACAGTAAATATGTATGTGATAAATATTCAACATTAGTAGTCATTAACAAAACAAAAATAAGACCATGAGAAGTTGCATCAGGTCTGTCAGATGGTCATTAGTAAGACAAGGAGATAACAGTAAGTGTTCACTGCTGAGGATATGGAGAAAAGGGAATCCTGTACAGTGATGGTCAGAATTCACATTAGTATGCCCATCATGTAAAATTTTACAGGGATTCTAGAAAAAAATCAAACTAGCATTTCTATACAACCCATTAATCTCAACGCTGGAGATATATCAAAAGGAAATAAAATCAGCATACAGAAGCTGTTCAACCCTAGCGTCAATCATAGCATCACTAATAATAGACAAGATATAGTCAGCAAACATGCCCATCAATGGATGAATGCATGAGAAAAATATGTATACACATTTCCAAAAGGCATGTAACACTATTCACTACTTCATAATAAAGGAAATCTCTGTAAATTGTGACACAGATAAAACTTGTGGGCATTAAGCTAAATGACATAATCCAGGCAAAGAAAAATGAATACTGTATACTGACACTTAAATATAGAATTTGGAAAACTCACAGACCAGTCAGTTCCAGGGTTGGGGTGGGGATGTGAAGGTGGTTGTCAGAGGTTACAAGGTCTCAGTTACACAGGATGAGTAAGTTCTAAAGGTCTAGTGTACAGCATGGTGACACTGCTTTATTATACTCTCATTAATAAATGTTTTGCATTCTTGAGACTTGGAAGATCTTAAGTGTCATCACCGTAAAAAGTGGACCAACTATAGAATGGACTTATTGATAAGGTTATGGTAAGCATTTTGTTTGTGTATATGTAAAACATCATACCTTATATTTTATGAATATATAACTTTTGTGAATTCTACCACAATAAAGATGAAAAGCCAATGCAAACGTTCTAATCAAAAGGCAAAGACAGGTAAAACACACATATAAGATCTAACTATAAAGCTGCCCACAATAGACACACTCTAGAGTCAAAGACATAAACACGTTCAGAGGCTGTAAAGAAACATTATGTCAACCATTGTCAGAAAAGTGACAGAATAGCTATTAGCATCATATAGTATAAATGATCACAAAAAGCATTCATGTGGATTAGGGGGCACTACTGTCAGTAACGGGAGATGCCACATTCTGCTCAGATGGCTGTGCTTTCACAGGGAACATTCCCAGGAAAGTCCATCTAATGGGTCACGAAAGACTTGACTAAGTCTAAAAAGTTGAGATTATATAAAGCATGTTCTCTGGTCCTCAACAGGATGAAGGTAGGAAACTTGGGGAAATCCCAAGTCAATGGAAATTAAACAGTACACTCCCAAATAGTTGAAATTTAACTAAGTGAGAAGATGCTGAGTAAAGACACTAAGGAAAAAAGTACAAAAATATTGGGTGAAGCCAATGCAATGAAGTCAGAGAAATCCGTAAGTATTTATTCCGGGCATTCAGATGGACTCTGGGAACCCATATCACGTGGAGGGATGCTCTCTCAGCCTGGACACATGGGGAAGAACCTAGGCCCTTCCCGGGATGATGTGACAGACTCTGAAAATTCCTCATGGAAGCCCTTGCCCTCCCTGGGGAGCGGAGGGGGGATGGAGTGGGGGTGAGGAGTTGGGAGAATTGGGGGGTGGGGGCGGAGGGGAGAGGAACTGAGAGTGACATGTGTAAAAAGTTAAATAAAAAATATTTAGCTGGGCGGTGGTGGCGCATGCCTTTAATCCCAGCACTCTGGAGGCAGAGGCAGGTGGATCTCTGTGAGTTCGAGGCCAGGCTGGACCCACAGCCTCCAAAACAATACAGAGAATCCCTGTCTTGTAAAAACCAAAAAAAAAAAAAAAGAAAAGAAAAGAAAAAGAAAAAGAAAAAGAAAAAAATAAAACGTGCATAAAAAAGAATAAAGATTAGAGCAGGAATAAGAAAAGAAAATTGGGAGTTGGTACTTTGCAATTCTTTACCCAGACTGACCAATTAAAAAAGATACTCAAATTATTTCTTTAAAAGCATAAAGAGATTATTACTGACGAACTGGCAGACAGGATGCAGTATGATGCAATATCATAAACATGGTATGAAGGCAAAGCACATAACTGGAGAAAAAAACGACAAATTCAAACTCCATAATGAAACAAAAGCACACAATCACAGTGTAACAAGATTCTGAATTAGGAATCAAAAGCACTCCTTACAAAGAAAGGCCAGAATCAGATAGCATGATAGTTAGTGTTAACTGTCAACTTGACAGGCTCTGAAATCTCCTGTGTGGGATTGGTTAGCCTCTGTGCACACGTGTGAGGAATGGTGTTAATTTGGTTTATTGAGGGTTGAGAACCCACACTAGAAGCAAGCAGTGTGATTCTGAGGGCTTGAGTCCTGAACTGTATAGCAAGCCACAAACTGACATTCATTGATCCTGCTTCCGAGCTACAGATGCAACGTGACCACCTGCCTCCAGTTTCTTTCAGGACTTCCCCACCTTAACAAACTGTCCCCTCAAACGGTGAGCAAAATCATCACTTTCCCCTTAAGTGGCTTTTGCCAGAGCATTTTAATCACAACAGGAAAAGGTAACAAAACCTTGTGACTTACCTACTCAATTTTGGCAAAGGTTTGAAGAAAATTTGCCAGCAATGCTTCATGAAATTTCCCCAAGAAAGAAGGAACCAAGGAAAGCATTAAAGAAAGGAAGAAAGAAAGGCCAGGAGCACATTCAATAAAACTATGCAGTTGTCCTGTCACTAAGACCAGTTAAGAACTCAAGAGAGCAGAGTAACCAAATCTGGTGGTTATTTACGAATCAAGACACAGAGATATGGAGTCCAACAAAGGGTGACATGCCACAACCAGCTGAACTATCCAGTGAGTTCAAGACATGAAAGCTCTAACCCATAGAATCATTGTAATACTCTGAAAGATTTTCACAAAATTCAACACATTTTTGCAATGGAAACAATGCAAAAACTAAAAATACAAAGTTTCCTTCTCCTTCAACTTGGTAAGGCGAGTTTGTGGGTAACTGCCTTACTCAGAGTGTGTGATGATCAAAGACACAAAGTTCTCTTACTAAGCTCAGAAACAAACCAAGACTCTCTGTCTTTGCTACTTCTACCCCACATGGGCCTGAAAATTCTTGATAAGAAAATTATGGGGCCAAAATAAATTAAGAAAATACCTAAATTGGAAATAAAAGCATTGTGATGGTTATTCTTTTCTCGTTTATTCTTCTCTGATACATCACATTTGTCTTAGTTAGGGTTTTTCTTGCTCTGAAGACACACCTTGAGCATGGCAATTCTTATAAAGAAAATATTTAATCGGGGTGACTTGCTTACAGTTTCAGAAGTTCAGTCTATTATCATCAACACAGGGATCATGGCATCGTGCAGGCAGATACGGTGCTGGTGCTTCATCTTACAGGCAACAGGAAGTTGATTCACAGTCACACTGAGGGAACTGGAGCAAAAGAGACCTCAAAGACCGCCCCCACAATGACACACTTCCTCCAACAAGGCCACACCTCCTAATAGCGCCACTCCCTTTGGGGGCCATTTTCCTTCCAACCACCACAATTCCCAACTGCAGTTTCCTCTTCCTCCACTCTTCCCTGTCCCTGGCCCCCACCACCTCTCTCCCCCGGATCCACTCCTCCTCCACATCTCTATTTAAAAAAATGTGCAGGCCTCCCAGGGATATCCACCAAGCATGACCTAATAAGTTACAATAAGATTAGGTACAAACCTTCACATCAAGGCTGGTTGAGGTAACCCAGTAGGAGGAAAAGGGTCCCAGGTGCAGGACTCCCACTGTGGGGAGTCCCACAAGTACACCAAGCAGAGCATGTATACTGAGGGCAAAGCTCAGACACATGCAGGCTCCGTGTTTGCTGCTTCAGCCTCTGTGAGGCCCTGTGAGCCCCGCTTAGCTGATTCTGCAGGCTGAACAGATGCAGAGACCCAGAGTTAAACACTAGGTGGAGATAGGGGAACCATGCAGGAGAGGGGAGCAAAGGCTGTAGGAGCCAGGGGAGGAGAGGATACCATGTGATGGCTATTCTTGATTGTCAGCTTGACTGCATCTGAAAGGAAGTAAAACCCAAAAATGGAGGGCACACCTGTGAGGCTTTTTTTTTTTTTTTGCTTTATTTGAATTAGGAAGATCCACTTCTAATCCAGACCTTTGGGGGAGGAAGACATGCCTTTAATCCGGACAGAATCCTAAAATAAAATTAAGAAAATAATTCAACTTAAGCTAGCATCAAAAATACTTCTGAAATACAGGAGGCAGATAAAGCATAGAATTTGTTGAGAGAAATCTGTAAAACATTGTCTAAAAACTAAAGAAGACTTGGATAAATGACAAATCACCTCATGCCCATAGATAAGAAGACACTTTTTTAAAGCCAGAGAATAAAGAATCAGCAAATACTACTTATGCTTTGTAGATAGAAAATGTTTCATATAACACATGTCTTATCCTTGCCTTTGACCTGCAATTCATCTTAAATTTTGTAAGTACTGAGGTCTTAAATTCCTACTAGGGACCCTTTGTGGAGCTGGCAAACCAACCCAAGTCCCATGTACCACTGTGATTAGCACAAAGGTGGAGGGGGGCAGGATAAAACCATTAATGCCCAGCAGTCCACATTTATTTTTCATCCTGCCATGTAGTACAAACAAAATGCAAAGTAAAGACGCTGCTTAGAATTGTCATGGACTTTTAGGGGCACCCCAGACTGTGCAGAACACAGACCCTCTAGTGCAGAGAAACTGAAGAATAAGAAGGAGGAGACAAGGGACTTGTCAAGTGGATGGATGAACGAAAAGCATGGTCTAGGCCTTCTAACAAGTTTGGTTGCCTGGAGGATGGTCTCTAAGCAGACTTCTCTCTGGTACATGTTCTGTACATGTTGTTAGTATAAGACAATCACAAGAAAGCAAGCAAGTTCACTTGGAACATCAGTTTCAAGTTGCTGCCCCAAATGAATGTTTCATATCCTACTCCTTTTCCGCCAAGATGAAGATAGTGTGATAAAAATAGCCAAGATATAGAATTGGAATATTTAAATTTTAAATTACAGAAAACTAGGCTTGTATTTTTCTTACACTTTGAAATATTTTCCAGAACCAGTGCTATTAAACTTCTGAGCTGCCTCTACGTCTTTTCACTTGGAGCACACACACACACACACACACACACACACACCATTCGTATAAGCGCACACGTGTGTGTGTGTGTGTTATAGAGAGAGTCTAAGGAAATGTGTGTGCCTTCTGTACTTGCATTCTTGAAATGCACCATCCACACATGATCCATGTTGTGAGGGTGCAGGAATAAACACAAACGGTGAATAATAAATCTAGGTTATAGCGGCTCACAGAACTTACTCAGCACTGTCCAAACCATGGCTTTCTACAGATTAGCTCCCTGGGGAAAGGCAAACCCTGCCTGCCTCTCTCAAGGATGGGTGCAGGGAGAAGGCCACGCTCTGTTTCACAAGTCAGCTGTAAAAGCAGGTGAGGACTGAAAGCCATTTTCAAAGTAAGGAGCAAGGAAATGAGTCCCGAGGCACGGGAGAAAAGAAATGCTCTTTCTTCAGGCTTTGCCCACTTTTGGAGGAAAGAATGTCAATAAAAGAAATAGATTTTAAGTTGAGGCCCAAAAGAAAAATTAAGGAAGCTTTAAGGCAAAATTCGAGAGGGAAAGGATGTAGCCAGGGAATCTGACAGCATTTAAGGGGCCAAAGAAAAGCACTTTGGCTGGCAAAGTACCTTCAGCCCTGTTATTGGAGAATTTACACTTGTGATTTCAATGTGTTTGTGTTTTCTCCTGGATATAAAATCTATTTTCCTAGCCCAGTTCTGGGAGACTCTTCACTGTTCTTGTTGCGGTGGCCCAAGAAATTCCAAATTTTGCAAGTTAAAGTCTGGCACCCAAGCCAGGTGTGGTGGTGCACGTCTTTAATACCAGCCTTCCAAAGGCAGGAGAATTCTGTGAGTTTCAGGCCATGCTAGTCTATATACGGAGTTTGAGGCCATTCAGGGCTCCATAGCCAGGTCCTGTCTCAAACAATGACAATAATACACATGTGCACAACATACATACACACACACACACACACACACACACCCTATAACCCATACTCCTTTGTCTACTTTCCTCCAGAAGTCTTGTCCCCTGAAAATATGTGTCCTATATTTTACTTAACTCTTATTATTTATCTCATCTATGATGGGAGATGTTATTCTATAAATATGTCTTTCTTATTGGTTGATGAATAAAGCACTGTTGACCAATAGGGATGCAAGATAGGTGAGACTAGGAGTCCAGGAGGATTCTGGGAAATGTAGTCAAAGGGGAGAGTTGCCATGTGATCTCCCAGGAAGAAAGGATGCGTCAGGAGGGCGTCCTCGGAAAGATAAGTCCTTGTAAAAATATGTATTGGTAAGTATGGGTTAATAATTAAGTCAGAGGTGACCATTAAGAAGCCATAACAAACAGCCAACAGCTTCATAATTTTACAGTGTCCTGTGTGTTATTTGGGGGCTGAGATAGCGGGACCTAGGTGGCTGGCAGGAAAAATACACGTTACACATCTATTACACTGATAGCCACCTACTTGACTTCCTTAAACTCTTCTCTCCTTTGATTCAGGGGACTTAACCTTCATCAACAGTGTGGAACTTAGTTGTGAAAGCATTGGATCCTGGAGCTGGAGAGATGCTCAATGGCTAAGAGCACTGGCTGCTCTTTCATGGATCCTGGGTTCAATTCCCAGTACTACATGGCAGCTCACAACCATCTATAACTCTGCAGACACCTGTCATGCAAAGTGGTAACAGACATGTATGCACACAACACACCCATACACATAAAATAAAAATAAGTCTGCATTTTTTAATAAAGTATTGGATTCTTTCCCTATAAACTTGATTTGCACAGGAAGCAGGGCATTTTCCTGAAGTCTTCAAAGGAGCATATATCTGTGAATTCCAACATTAGGATCTCTGCCAGTTCTTATCCCCAGGGCAGCAGAACCGACACTAAGTTGTTCTCTAAACTTCCACTGTATAAACACCAAAGCTATGAGTCTACAGTGTCTCCATCCTACAGGACAAAATTCGTGGCACAGGATGCCTAGCATTCCCTTTTCCCACCTCCAGCCTTGTTCGTGTCATGGATCTTGTTTTCCGGTCTGAGCCATGTTAAGGGGCTGGAAACAACAACCTTACTGTTTCTCTGGTGCCATCCTTGCTTCTGTCTGCATGTGAGCTCCTTTCACGAGTCCGCAAGCCCTCCCCACTCCTTTTCCACCTCCACATTCTGCATTCTCATTCTCTCACTTGCTGCCAGCAGTGACCAGTGACCCAGAATGGAGTAGCAGAGTTTATATTCTTCCCCAAAATCTGTAAATAAGAAATAGAAGCCTCATGTGTTCCCTGGATTTGGAGATGCCCCAGGATGCTTTGAAGGGATGGAAGAAAGGAGATGTTTCTGACAATAGACTGCTTCGCTCATGAAGTCAATAGGAGGTTTGTTATTTTCCCTTCATTCTGTCTCCTACAAGACTGTTGGAAGACAGTTTGAGAGGGATGGTCTGTCACATTCCCTGAGAGATCTCCTCTCCAGGTCTTATCTTGGTCTTTAGTAGGGGGTAAGGTGTCAACTACATTTATCTATTCAACCACCTTTGTAGTTTGACCATAACAATTTCCTTTTAGGGTCTCTGGGCCCCAATAAGTCCCTTGTTGATGAAGACAGATGCTGTTCTTTCTGCTATAGCTTATATCTGCAAAGACGTACACCTAACTCATGAAGCTGGCTGGAGAGCACACACCAAGACACCCCTCTGCATTGCTCCAAGGGTTCCCACTGAACTCTTCTCAAATCCAGATCCTTACTACAATGCCAGTAAGAATATCCCCTACAATTTGGTATATTTTCTTCTTTGAGGGTGACTACATTAAGGCCATCAACTTCATATAGTACTAATTATCCTAAAGTATCCAGTACTTGATTGGCACATACAGCAGTGGTTAGAAGTACATGCTTGGAAAAATTAAGATACTGTTTATGAAGCTATTGCCTGGCACACAGTGAGCCCTTAGTAAATGTCAGCTTATTATCATAGCAGGCAGTGATTAAAGCACACTGATTGTCAAGGAGAAATGTAAAAGTAAATCTTAAAATATCTTTCATCTCGCACAATTATTATATAACTGTAATAATATCTGAAACATGTTTTTGTCAGCTTTAGATGCCAGATTTCTTATGCTTTTAAGACTCCAGGTATCCATGTGTCTTAAACAAAGACATTTCTCAGTAGGGATCCTTGTGAAATGGAAGTCGCACTGAGAATTACAAAAATGTAATAGCCTACACCTTTTTACAGCTGGGCACAATTTCCTGAGGCTATGCAATATGTTCTGCACAGAGAGAAAGAGAAGTAAAGCTGACATTCTGGAAATTATATCACTAAAAACATCAGCAGCTTCAGCAATGGAAAAGGGGCTAATGGAAATGTGCGGTACAACCAAGAAATACTGTGTCTAGGAGGCTTTTGGTTGTTGGCAGTAAAAACTCTAGGTATTGTGGGTTGATGTAGCAAATATTCATTTGTTTGATGAGGAGAATAAATTAACTGACCTGAAGAAATTCAAACAAAAAGCAGAGTTAGGTAAACTGACTGATGATTTCAGTGGTTTCTGTTGAAGATTTTAGTATATACTCTCATTGATCATGTATTTTTTAATGAAATATACGTAAAATTAAATGGATGTATACTGTATAAGACTAGTGAGTATGCACAACCATTACAAGTTATTTTCAGCTACGTTCTTCTCAGAAAGTCATTCCCTACACTGTCTTAGAGACTGGGTGCCTGTCAAGGCCTCATGTGCTGAGGTTTAATCCTCACTGTGAGCTAATAAGGAAGTGAAAACTTAATGGGACTGTGAGGGTTA